CCCCCCCCCCCCCAGCTGCCTCTTCCTCTCTTCCTCCTCTCATCTCCCTGGAGTTGGGCTGCTTCCTTCTCAAAACCTCACGTTCAAATTAGCAGTCCATTGATTTATTCGCCATGGAGGTTGGCACACTTCCAATTCTGGAGGAGAGAAGGGCCAAAGGCCCAGGAAATGGGTGGGTAAATGCTTTCTCCCTAGAAGAGCTTGACAAGGGAGAAAATGTTCTTTGTCATAAATTATATGGGTGCTAATTCTTCATTGGTTGCTAAGTTCAGAAACTTCTTCTGTCAACAAATTTAGTTTTTCCAGTTTTGCAGTTTTAAATGTCCTGAATTATCCTGTCTACTTTTCATAAGTTGCAACTTACTTTAACATCTCCCCCCCACACCTCCCCTCCCCCAGGGATTTAAGGACGTATAACAAAGCCTCAATTGGTGACATATAAACACACCCTCATCCTCAGGAATCCAAGCTGTCCAGAACGTTACTTCTGCTTGAGGCTGCCTAACCTCAGGGTAGATGGAGCTGTATTTTTGAAACATATACGAAGGAAAATTTTATAAGACAAATTAATGAGATAAATAAGATTTAAGCTTTTCAAAATCTAGCTTTACGTTTTAAAGTCTAGCTTCAGCATATTTTCAGCAATTTTCACAAAATGTGCTACAGATTAGAAAAAGGAATGTATGTGTTAAAGTGGTCCCTGAAACACCTATGTTCAGAAGTAGTTCGCTGGCAACTCTATTGGTGGCTTTACAAAGTCAAAGGTAGCAGAAATCCCTGCCTCCAACACTTTGTCCTTCATCTAAGTGCCTGTGTCACATCCCTACCTGAATGGCCCACAGGCATTATAAGCTCGTCTTATTCTACAATGTAGTTATCACCTCCCTTGGAAGTCTGGGAATATCTTTTGTTCTCTGTTTATGCACATGGTCACACTTCCAGTACTCACACAAGGTGGAAACTTTCCTTAACTTGGTCTTCCAATCTGTACCCAGATGGTGTTAATCCTGTATCCTAAACAGGGTCCTTCAAGCTTCAAGTCAAGCATGACCTCCTGTGGAAGCTCCCCTGGTGGCCCTAGTTACTCCTCATGACACTATTCATTTGATTCAATAAATATTTATTAAGCACCTGCTTACTATGTTCAAGGCAAAGTGCTAAGTGCTAGAGATAGAGCGATCAATAAGATAGACCTAGGTACTGTCCTAATGAAACTTAATTCTACGTTTACAATAACAAATTCAAGATGCAAATAAACAAATTAGTAAGTAAGGCATTTTCAGATAAATACAAATGTTATTTAAAAGTGATACGGCAAAGAATGGCTGGGGCAGGGTGAGGGCAGGAGTATTCAGTGAAGGCCACTTTGAGTTGATACTTGAGTAAAGACCTGAATAATGAGATGGAGCCAGCAACTGGAAGATATGGGGGGTAGAAATTCCTATCAGAAGGGAGAAAGCAAGTGCAAAGGTACTGAGGCATAAATCAATGGGGGTGTTCAAGGGATAGGAAGAGTGGGATTGAAATAATGTGGCTGGAGGATAGTGAGCGAGAGAAAACAGTAATAAAGATGAGGTCAGAAAGGTAGGCATTCGTCTAGTTTAGCAATGTCATCCTCTAAGACTTTCTTCTTATCACCAGACTTTGGGGATCATTACTTTTGATTTTTAGATGCCTGGTGTTTGACACAGAACCTCGCACTAAGTAGGTAAAATTTCTGTTCAACATATAAATATGAAAGAATGCATGTTTTTCTTCAAAAAATAAAACTTGATGTGGCTAAAGTGACTCAGGATAATGAAGTTTCACTAAAGGTTTAATAAATTACTAATATTCCATTTTAAAGATGCACGGAACTTGTGGAGAATTACAAAAGCAAACGACAGTCTCTCTCTTTGGGCTGTAAAGGCAACTCTTCCATCAGAATGCACTGGGGGTGTTAGAATTATATTTCTCCACCCTTAACCACACCAAGGTCAAGTCTGACTTAGTACCAAAGTTGAAATGAAGCTGATGCTAATTTGACTAGACTTCAGGAAGAAAAAACAATGAATTATATTTAACCCCTCTCCCTGGGCAAGCAAGAGAGAAAAGTACTATAGCTTGGTTTGAGTGAGGTTTTTTTGTGTGGGGTTTTTTTGTGTGTGTGTGTGTGTTTTCAAATTCTAATGTTCATTCATGGAACCTTTCTTTATCCCAGAAAAAAAAAAAATTCAAAATAGAAAATTTTGATTTCACCTAAAGAACAAAAGTGTTCAAACTTAATATTTTTTTAATCATCACCCAAAGATATGCTTGTTTTTTCCAAAATATATATTGATTTTAGAGCGAGAGGAAGGGGAAGAGAGAGAGAAAGAAACATCAGTGTGACAGAGAAACACTGATCAATTGCCTCCCCTAAGTGCCCTGACTGGGGATCAAACCCACAACCTAACTATGTGCCCTGGCAGGTAACTGAACCCTCAACTTTTTGGTGTACAGATGACGCTCTAGCCAGCTGAGCCACCAGGCTAAAGCCAAACTTATTTTTTTCATCCATGTTAATGTCTTTAATTTTTTCCCCCGATAGCTTTTAGGAGAATTGCACTGATACATCATTTAGAAATACCTGTGATGAAATGATGCAGAATGTGCCGAAGCAGCAGGTAAGGAAACAGGAGTGGTGGGAGGGAGAAACCAAAGGAGCAGCAAGGTGCTGACATGCTTGGAGAGGTACCGTGTAAAGGACATTCATCTGTGTGATCTCCCTTAAAATTTATAAAATACTTTGAGTTAGGTATTCTTTAACTCAGTTTAGCAGATCTGGAATTCCTAAGTAAATAATTTGCCTTATATCGAACATAGTTACTAAATGACAGAGAATAGGATTTGAAAGCAGGACTGTATGACCAGAGGCCTCATACTCTTTTACATATATATGTTTAAAAAATAATAATAATAAATATATATATATATATAAGACACTTGAACATATATAGTTTAGCATATCACATATACATTTATTCCAATAGAAGATGTAGAAGAAGGATTTTATTGTGCCATCAAAATTTACTATTTCCCTATCCTTCTAATATAAACCAAAAATTATACCAAAGTCCCTAAAACATTCTGCATGACTTCAGTTTCAGCTAAAAAACTGAAGCACAGGAACTAGGATGACAGAACAATTTATATATATGTGTGTGTGTGTGTACATATATATATATATATATATATACACATACACGCATATATATATATATATGCTGTTAAAATTATTTAGGTTGTTATAAATGTCACTGTAAAATACTGGCATTAGGAAAAGTTTTAGAGGGAAGTGTAATTATTAGGAATTCCATGATCTATAAGACAAG